CCCCCGGGGGGTGGGGAGAAGGGCTCGCGGTTCCCTGCCATCGCCTTCCCTCCCCGGGGTGGTCGCTGGCAGAGGCTCGAGCATCGCTGGGCGGCGGAGCGCCGCAGGGGAAGAGGGGACGGAGGTGCCTTCCCTGTGCCCACAGGAAAGAGGGAGGGACCATTTCGGACAGAAACAACCTACCATCCTCGTTCACCAGTCACTAATGAAGGGAAGAGGGGAGAAAAAGTCCAGCTCTTGGGTCCAGCTTCTCGTGTCGTGGGATGTCCCACCACGGCAGGGGTCGGTCAGTCACCGGGGCCACGGCACGGGGCAGTGGGGAGCGGGAGGGACGCGCCGTCAGCAACAGGTTGTTGCACCAAGGAAACCCTTTTGCTTTGTGGAAGTGCCTTTAAGAAACATGTTAACGCCGAGGTCACCTTGGGGAGGTGGGAGCCATCGCTTGGTCTCCGGCCGGGAGGGTGGGGAGGGTTTGCCCCTCGGTGGGGAGGAGGAAGGGGTCCTTAGGACAAGTCTTCCACCGGCAGCTCCTCCTCCAGGTCCCTGTCGTCGGGAATCGTCACATTCTGGTTGGTGGTGGCCATCAGCGAGACGGGTCTACTGTCATCCTCTGCCTCGGCGGGCTCCTCCTTCACATGCACTGGATGGCTGCGGGGAGGGAAGCGTTCAGCCCCGAGGAGCCCGTCCCGCTGGATACAACCCCTTGACGCTCTCGGTCCAAACCCCCTCCATCCCTGCGCTGCTCCTCACCGGGGGCACCATCACCACGGGAGGCAAAGAGCAGCTCCCAGTGCCCGCTGTGCCACTGTCCCTCAGCTCCAAACCCTCCCGCATTTGTTTAACCTTTCTGAATTTTGGCTGGAGTCATGACTACTTTGAGCTCCACGCTCACTTCTTTTCTTGAAGAATTTGATGTAGCATTAAGCTCTTATATCGCATTTTGGGAACCCCCAGACTTTGGGGGTGTTTGGTTTTCACTAAGGTGCTACGCGGCGTGCTTTGCTGCTGCCACCCAATGGTCTGGTAGCATAACGCGGCGCCGGCAAACCAGCAGGTATCAACTTGGACAAATCTTTTGCTTGTTCCTTCACTAGGCAAAACATGAGGTAATTTTTGCAAATTCAGGGGGCCGGGAGGGTTAACGCTGAGTGAGCTGCGCGTACTTTGCACTGAAGCAGCACCTGAGCAAGTTCAAGGAGTTCTTCAGGAACTGCAGTTTTGATGTTCAGTTGCTGATCTGCTGTTTTATTGTTCAGTGTCTGTTTCAGGGACATACTGTGAAATATGTTAGCATGTGTCAATGAGGGGAATGTGCCTGAGGGGTTGAATCCATCGTATTTATAAAGCTGGGAGTGGGAGGAAACACGTTAATAAAATATTGGGCTTTAATATCTTCACTATCTCTTCCAGCTCAAGGAACGGAGGATGCAAGACCACGATGGCAGAGCGGTGAAGTTTAGTGCCCTCCATCCCCGCCAGGGACGGGACTGGGTCCTTACCTGGTAACTTGCATTAAGTGCTCCGTAACCGAGTCCTGAAATCATGTTTTTGACTAAAGTTGGACTCCTGCAGAAAGAGAGAAAGCACAATGACGTGGGGCTGAGCGCTCCCGGCGCGGGGACCGGGGGTTTGGCTGCGGAGACGGGTGCGATCGCGGCTCCCAGACTGCATCCCGGCGGGAGAGGAGGACCCACCCTGTCATCTTTGGTGGCCTTCGCTTTTGGTACTCGTGCTCGTCGACGGTCCAGACGGCTCCCTTGACGTTCTCCACGCGCACAAAGCACTTGTGCAGGCTCAGGTTGTGGCGGACGGCGTTCTGCGGGCAGAGCGGGCAGGACAGCTCAGCGACACGGCCCTCGCCCCACTGCCCCGTGCCCTCCTCTTCCTCCCCATCCTCCTCCTCCTCCTCCGCCAGCCCCTGCGGGTCCCCACGGCTCCGGGCTGCCCTGGCCACGCTCAGCTTGTCTGCCGACACACGCTCCGCAAAGCCACCCGGGGATGCTGCAAACGCTCCCTCAGCCCATCAGCACCGAGAGGGTTTGGGATCCCAGTCCCCGAGCCGCATATCGGACACAGCCCTGTTTTGTCAGCCCTGGCCAGATGCCGAGGAAGATGGGGACAGAGTGGGACAAGGGACAAGTGGCACCAGCAAGGACCCGGGAGCACAGCCACCCTCTCCGCTGCAGCTCGCTCGGCGAAGCCGGCTAATCTTTCCCTTTCTTTTTCTTTCCCCCACCCTCCCTTTTTGGTCCTTTCCCTCCCTTTCTTCTTTACATCGACCATCTTTACATTTCTAAATGTAAAATAAAGAGACACACACGTAGGCAGACAGCGCAGCCCCGAGAGATACCAGCTCCCTTGTCCCCTTCCAACTCCCTGCCATTTGCTACTGCCCCTATTTCATTACCAATTTTAATTTGCCTCTAATTAAATCCTGTGTATTTTTCCGACTCACTTGCTAATCCATGAGGGAGGCAGGAGGCTGGAGTGGAATCTCTCCGAGCTATAATTACAAAGGGCCTAATCACGCCGGGGCTCTGCCTTTGAATAAATTTCCTTGCATTAAGGTTCTCAGATTCTCTGCCTTGCAAATGAGAATGACCCCAATTTCAGGAAGTTGGCCTCGGAGGGTTTTTTTTTTTTATATATTTTTTTTTTTATTTCGAGTCCTGATTCGTGATGAGAGACTAATTCGTTACGCTAAAACATTAACAGCAATTTAAAAGGTCGAACGAGGGCTGTATAAACAAAGGAGCCGGCCAACACAACAAGGCAAAAGGAGACACAAGGACTGAACCCC